CACTCACTCACTCACTCACTCACTCACTCACTCACTCACTCACTCACTCACTCACTCACTCACTCAAGCACGCTTGCGCGCATAGCTTTAAAATCCAAGCTCAATAATTACGTTAGCAGTGCTTCCTAACTGTATCAAGCCTACTAATCGTACAGCATAACTTCTACATTCTCTAATCTCTGACAGTTCCCGCTGGCGAGGGAGTAATCCCGGAATTCCTTGGGCCTCCTTCTATCACGGATTCGCCGGACAGGAAGGCGATGACCATCGAATGCCAAGTGAAAGGCGACCCTAAGCCGACAGCCTCCTGGATCTTCGATGATAAGACGCTGTCCGATGTGAAGGAGAAGTACAAGATGCCCGTGGTCGAGCTAGGCGACAACAAGTGGGCGCTGAGACTCACCATATTCGTACGTTCACGATGACGATGACGATGATTTTGCATTTTTCTATTTCTTCCACCTTCTCGGTTGTTCTTTGTTCGTTCTTCCTTCGCGTAGTTCTTATTCAAACATTCCCGTAATGCAATAATTGGGATGTGCTCTGGGTTCAAGCGTCAAGATGAATTAATTTTGTGTAAAATTGTTTACATTGAAATTTACGTATTTGTGTGGCGACACAATGCAGTGGAACAATGCAGTGCCCAATGCTGACAATTTTACTCTTATTATCTCTTATAATTTTATTCTCACGGAGAGCCTCATGTGCGTGCGTTTGTTTCTAGTCGGGTATTTCACATATTTACAAATGCATTTCCTCTTCTCATACTTGTGGCCCGTCTCTGCAATGATTTACTACATCATTCAACTACTTTCCTTCATTGACATTTTCCAGAACATAGTGAAGACTGACACCGGAAGATACAAGTGCACGGCTAAGAACAAGTACGGATCGTGTCACGGTAGCGTGTCCGTGCAAATGTAACTCGATGGATAACAATGGCAGCTGAATATATTACGTGTCTACTACAACACCGATCCGAGTTTTATCTGCATATTGATGCCATGGTCCGACGCACCTCGCATACTCCTGTGTTTTACCTCAGCATGGCGGTTTGAATTATTGGCGATTATGTATCCAGATATTGTATGATATTATATATTACTGACCGCCGTTCTTACTGTGTGTTTGTTTTGCGCAGCTGCGATAGTATTTGATAAGCATTGCCCTTCATTGGCGAACGAATAAGGTCACCTGACAGGTAAAAGCCAATGAGAAAGGTTGAGGCGCGTATCACGTGGGCTATTCCGGCATATGGGTGCCTTCTTAGCAACGCGACGTGACAAATCTTAATACTAGTAAGAACGACCTCCTTACCTGAGATCCCCTCAATGACACCTGTGCTAAAGGATAGGGCGTCGTTGTTTCTGGGAAAGTCCATCCATACGTAGCAGTAGAGTTTTTACTTAACGAATGACGTGCTTATGCAAATGTGTTAATGTTTTTCATTTTTATTCGCGTTAAAGAAAGTGCAGGTAAGTCAGGAACGCGAGCCATTGTAACGCAATTTAGCTTCGGTCATTGTATATTCCTGATAAATATTTATTTATTAATAATTTTGGTTATTATACGGTATATTCGTGTCGGCGTAAGGACGAAATTAAATATACAAAAATTGCGTTTAATAAACAATGAAGCAATAATTGTCTGTTTACCCTTGATCGTTGATGTTTCATTTATATTTCTACTCCTTCGCAACATGCATGGGTTCGCTGATTTCTGCTGCTACTGATACTGTTGCTCATCACGAAGAGAAGACGACGATGCCGATGACGATGACGATGACGATGACGATGATGATGATGACGATGATGATGGTGACGATGATGATGGTGACGATGATGATGATGATGATGATGATGATGATGATGGTGACGATGATGATGGTGACGCCGTGCACGCAAAGCAACACTAGAATATAGAACAATAACTAGTGACACTCCGCATGCGTACAATTAAATTAAGAGATTTCAGCACGGTGGCGATGATAGCAACAGCAGCAAGTAGATATCATCTTATATATTAGGAAGTCCTGGCTATCAAGACTTGCTCAATACAATGAATGTCGAAACATTAAAATAAGTCACCGAGTGAGAGCAGGCAAAAATTAAATTCATAAATGCCCACGTGACGAGGCTCTATAACGTCTTCTTACAATCATGAACCGCATTAATGTAGCGAGACGCAATTAATGTAACATTTCATTCTGTCACTATTACATCATGATTTTCTTCTACTTCTTCTACCACATATCTCTTTGTTTCCCATTTTCTTAAGCTTTTTACTGTCATCTCTGTTCCATCCTCAAATCCCGTAGCACCCTACCTCCACAACCTACTATACNAGTGATGGCTGAGAGAGAGAGAGAGAGAAGAGAGAGAGGAGTGATCGTTAGAGAGAAGAGACGAGATGAGAGAGAGAGAGCAGATGAGAGCCGGAGAGAGATGAGAGAGAGGGGAGAGAGCAGAGAGTGAGTGCAGAGCTGCAGCGGCACAGACTGACCTGGTTGTCTTTATTCTGATACGATGATCACACGAAGGTTAGCATTGTGAAAATCGAGCAGAAAATACATAATATTCTTTTGTATTCTTTTCCTTACCTGAGATCTCCTCGATGACACCGGTGCTAAAGGATAGGGCGTGGTTGTTTCTGGGAAAGTCCATACGTAGCAGTAGAGATTTTACTTAACGAATGACGTGCTCATGCAAATGTGTTAATGTTTTTCATTTTTATTCGCGTTAAAGAAAGTGCAGGTAAGTCAGGAACGCGAGCCATTGTAACGTAATTTAGCTTCGGTCATTGTATATTCCTGATAAATATTTATTTATTAATAATTTTGGTTATTATACGGTATATTCGTGTTGGCGTAAGGACGAAATAAGATATACAAAAATCGCGTTTAATATACATTGAAGCAATAATTGTCTGTTTACCCTTGATCGTTGGTGTTTCATTTATATTTGTACTTCTTTGCAACATACATGGGTTCGCTGATTTCTGCTGCTACTGATACTGTTGCTCATCACGAAGAGAAGACGACGATGCCGACGACGATGATGATGACGATGATGATGATGATGATGATGATGATGACGATGATGATGGTGACGCCGTGCACGCAAAGCAACACTAGCATATAGAACAATAACTAGTGACAGTCTGCATGCGTACAATTAAATCAAGAGATTTCAGCACGGTGGCGATGATAGCAACAGCAGCAAGTAGATATCATCTTATATATTAAGAAAGTCCTGGCTATCAAGACTTGCTCAATACATTAAAATAAGTCACCGAGTGAGACCAGGCAGAAATTAAATTTATAAATGCTCACGTGACGAGGCTCTATAACGTCTTCTTACAATCATGAACAGCATTAATGTAGCGAAACGCAATTAATGTAATATTTCATTCTGTCACTATTACATCCTGATTTTTGTCTACTTCTTCTACCACATATCTCTTTGTTTCCTATTTTCTCAAGCTTTTTACTGTCATCTCTGTTCCATCCTCAAATCCCGTAACACCCTACCTCCACAACCTACTATACCTACTATGCTAACCTACTACCTATACAAACACGCCTCGACTCTACATATATTTCACACCCGTGTTACGTTCGCTATCAGGCTCCTCTCTACCTTCTGGCCTGTTAAATCCTCTCCTTACAGTCTACGTTTAATAGAGATATCGCACAACACAGTTTATTAAGTCAAACGGTTTATTAAGTTAAACAACCGCTCATAAGGACGACATCTAGCGTACCGCAGACACGCAGCCACATTGTGAAAAGGTTGGCAACGGACGGTTATTTTTATATAATTATAAAAGCAAATTATATAGCTAATTAAAGCGAATAAAAGCGAAATTATAAAAGCAAAAAATGCACTACTTTTCCCTGTAATTCAATTCGAGAACGGTGGATACGACATCGGAGATTTCGGGGAAGTCCATCATGACGATGTTGATGCCTCGCAGACCGGCCTCTCTCGCTCGCACCCAGCTGCTGAGCACCGGGTTACAGTTGCTCGTCAGCGCCACCTCGTGGTCACGATCCGTATTAGCCATCATCGTCTGCGCGTCTGCGGTCAACACGCCCTGCGTCACGGCGAACTTGTTATCCGGGCGCGCGTCGTACCACTGCGTCAGCTTGTCCGTCATGTCGAGAACGTGCGGGGTGTTCGGCCAGGGCGAGTACAGCCACTCGGTGGCGCTCCAAAACAACCGATGCTGTTCCACCCTCGATGCGCCCTGGTAGAGTACGATCACTTGTTGATTGCTCGCCCGAATCGACTCCAGCGTTAGCTCTGGTAGCGGCCGCTGCTTGGGCGGCGACGGGACCATGATGTCTTCGAAGGTGGCGAGTAGAAACTGTTTGAGTTTCTCGTGTTCGGCGCCGTCCATGCGGTAGAAGTTCTGGAAGTGCAGAATGACGACCTCGTCGCGGTGCGCGTCGAGAAACTGTCGCGTCTCCTGCATGACCGCCTTCGCCGCGATGCCGTAGAAGCCGTGAAAGAAGAACCAGTCGTCGGTGACGTTCTCCTTGGTCGCCGTCCTGACGTCGAAGTAGCGGATTCCGGCCGTCAGCTGCTGCGTCGCCGTCATGTTCTGCATGACGGAGTAGTTCAAGGCGACGTTGACGCCGAAGTCGCCCGGGAAGGCTTCGATGATCGTCTGAAGGGCACCTTCAATGTCGGCGAATTCCTTCGTCAGGTTGTACGTGTAGCTGTCGTGCGATCCTGCAGCGAGAAAATTGTTGAAAAGTGGACATGTTGCATGCGTTAATACATCGTCGGTTATGTTGCATGTTGCATGTTACAAAGCGGCGATGTTATGTTAATACATCGGTATGTTGCATGTTGCAGACATTTTGCATGTTGCATGTTACAAAGCGGTCATGTTGCATGCGTTAATACGTCGGTTATGTTGCATGTTGTAAACATGTTGTATGTTGCATGTTACAAAGCGGCGTTGTTGCATGCGTTAATACATCGTCGTTTAAAACCATAGAAATAATATACTAGTTAGACTATAAATTGTGTCTCTTTATATATTTCTATGGTTAAAACATATATGGGATCTGTCATCGGCAACGTGAAACATCAGGTCTAAGCTATCGTGCCCCGGGCGCAACACGAACTCTTTTAGTTTATTAACTTTCTTTAATAATGAACAAAATAATATCGATTCATTTCTCTATTGAGATTTAAAAATATTCGTGCGCTAACCATGAGACACGGTGACGACACAGGTATGTAGTTATACTCAGCGGCGTCACTATGGTTGGTGTCACACGGTGCGGTAACTCATGGTGTCACCCCCATGGACATCCTCCCGTACCAGACCATACAGAATCCTTAGTTTGTTGTATATACATATTAATACATACTAATCTCTTACTCGTAAATCGTAATTCCCGTATATCACTGAATGTAATGGCAATAGTAGTGACATAAACAACTAGCAAAATTAAAATCATCCCCTCTGATGGTGTCACCCGGTGCGTTCCCCTCCCCCCTCCGCACCCCCGTTGTGACGTCACTGGTTATACGCTTACTGACTCATCCCATATCCTCACCTGGTATAGCGAGCGCACTGAGGGGCGCCGCAGCTACATGCGCCGGTACATCTCTCATCCAGTTGGCATAGTCTAAACGGCTCTCTCGAATTTCGAACGACGACGACGACGACAATAGTGACGACGACGACGACGACGACGACGACGACGACGATGACGACGACGACGACGACGCCGACGATGACAATGGTGACGACAATGGTGACGACGACGACGACGACAGAAGCGTGGCGCAAAACAGCGCCATGGTGCAACGAAAGCGATCTTCTAACGACGACATAGTTAGAGCGCTAGAAAACGCCGAATTAGTCTGCGTTGTGCGATGCGAAACAACAGCGCAATATGGCCGCGTTGGTTGGCATATCGGATATCTGATCGGATATAGGATTTTGGATATCGGTCCCAACAACAACATGCGCTACTTCATGTACTAGGCACAGGGCATATGCGTATATATATATTATATAGAGTGCTCGCGCTGCTGCAGTGCAAGAGTCCCTTGCTGAAAAAATTCAGTACAGACGGGACATACGAGTGCACGTTTGTTTAACGTATCATATGATAGACTGGCTGATAGGCTTAAGACGTGCCCGCACACCTACACACGTATTACACGTGCATAAGTTTACTGTATGCCCGCGCTTGCTGCTTTAGAAATAAGATTACTCTGTTGACACTATTTTTTCGTGCTAACGCGATGTGTGGCTGTGTGTGCGTGCGTGCGTGCGTGCGCGTGTGTGTGCCCGCGTGTGTGTGGGCGCGCATGTGTGCGTGCGTGTGTGCCTGCGTATGTGTGGGCGCGTGTGTGTGCGTGCGTGTGTGCCCGCGCGTGTGTGTACGTGCGTGTGTGCCCGCGTGTGTGTGATGCAACGCTACGCATCCGGACATCCACTGATGCCGTATTCGAACGAGAAAATGCCGCACATCCACCGATACCACTATAAATCATATGATGCCACTATAAACCATATATATGCCCTAACCTTAACCCTAACCCTAACCCTAACCCTAGGCCTAACCCTAACCCTAACCCTAACCCTAACCCTAACTCTAACCCTAACTCTAACCCTAACCCTTTGCAATATTTGGTCTATCGGACCTTCGGTCTATCGGACCTTCGGTCTATAGGGCTGCCCCCTCTCCCCAGCCTGTGTCCGTCACCCTCACTCCCACACCACCCACTTATTTCTCCAACATGCCATGCACACTTACGAGGGGCGAATAATGAAAAGTTGTCACGATGCACGTGTCAAATTGTCATTATTCACAATTTGTCAATTATTCACCTCTGCCCTCACGTAACATCTCTGTAAACCTCGCCTAGCTAGCCCGTTAGCTGCCCGCCATCCTCCTGACTATCCCACCTCCAAGAAATCTATCTTACCTATCTTATTTAAGACTATTAAGATCTTATTTTACACTCCCAGCCCCACCCTGCCGTTAGCAGCTACCCTCTACATAAACTACGACCCCTCCACTACCCACCCCTCCCTCTTATATATCTAATCTCCACTACCCACCCCCTCCCTCTTATATATCTCATCT